ATGTATAGTATGTTTACTGTAGTATTTTCTGTACAATATTGTCAAGTTTTTTCAGATTATTTTTTATGGTTGTTGTTATGGTACTCTAATCTCTGAGAATTAGACTTGCTAAAAGTGTTTTAAGTTAGCAACAGCGGTGTGTAACTGGTTCAAAAAGATTAAAGTCATATGAAATGTGTGTTTCGCATGGTAACAAAATATTGTTTTTACAAAGTTGTGTATAGTTTTGACAAGTGTTCCATTTTGCAAATGATCTGAAGTGTTGTGCTACTTTGGTGTAGGGTTGTGTTAATTGTGTGTAGTGTTTTGACAAACCGGGCCCTGTTTTCAAAATTGTGCTTAAGCAATCGTAAAAAACTGTACTAGGTGACACTGTCAAAACCGCACTTGACACGCTAAAATATATACAGAGAGAGATGGATCGATAATATACTGCATGTTAGCTCGTTTATTTTTCCATGAACATTATATAGTGCATTTGTCACACTAACTAGAAACTATACTAAATACTAGGGGTGTGACGAGACACTTATCCCACGAGACTGGGTTCACGAGAACGAGACGAGACGAGATTTTTAGACGTTTTTAAAGAAATCCTCAATGATGAAATATATAGGAAAAATAGTCTTTTATTCAACTGAAAAACACAAAACGCAAAAAATGTAGGTGCATTTTGAAATCAACTTGTAGCCTACTTTGTGAAATTAAACTTTGTAGGTGCATTTTTAAATCAACTTGTACTTTATGAAATTAAACTTCTATTTTAATGAATTATATGCAGCAATAAACAACATGTAAACTAGAACTGCATGATTCTGGATAAATTGAGAATCATGATTTTTATATATATAAATTGGAGATCACGATTCTCTCACGATTCTGAAGAAAAAAAGATTAGAAAACTAAACAAAATAACAATTTACTAGTGGTTCTGACAAAATGTTCATTGCTTACGTCTTTTTAAAATATATATATTCATCTTAACAAAATTAAAAAAATAAATAAATAAAAACCAATGAAGGAGTCAGTAGCTGCGTTTCCATCCACCTATTTTTATGCGCATTTTGGAATATCGCATAAAAAAACGCTGGATGGAAATGCCAAGATGCGCATACATTCTCAAAAATGCGCATAAAAAAACTTATGCGCACATTTGAGTAGGATAAACTTTTTATCCAATAAGAAAAAATGCGCATAAACTACGATGGAAACACATTTACCGAATAAATTCCACCATGCGCATTGAAAAAGTCACGTGACTTTGCGCTATGAGACGGGATAGCTTGAGGCCAAGATGCGCATAAATTCTAAAATGCGCATAAAAAAACTTATGCGCACATTTGAGTAGGATAAACTTTTTATCCAATAAGAAAAAATGCGCATAAACTACGATGGAAACACATTTACCGAATAAATTCCACCATGCGCATTGAAAAAGTCACGTGACTTTGCGCTATGAGACGGGATAGCTTGAGTAGCAGCGGACCGATCTCGTTCACAGCATCTATATGTTGTTATGGTCGTTCTGAAATGCCTGATCAAAGTCTGTCATCAAAGTATTTCTGTATAATTACTGTCTTACATGACTGCGTTCCCAAACAGCAGCATCCACCTCCGAAAGCATTGACAGCATTTATTGTGTTACTTCTGCTCGCTCCGAGGTGCAAGTAATTTATATCATATATGAACATTATTATATTCAGTGGCTTCTCCTATATTCTTAGTGATATTTAGTGCCACAGTTTAACAGGAAGTGACGATTTTGTTCTCTTTGACTCATTGGATGGAAACGCTTTATTCGCATATGTTTTATGCGATATTCAGGTTTTGCACATAAGTTTAATTCAAATCTTTGGATGGAAAAATAGCTAATGTCTCAATTCATAAAGACCTGTTTCACAATTGGAATCTCCTGAAAGAATGATTCAATGACAAATATTTTTTTAAACGGGCAGTTGTCGCCACCTCCTGGCGGAAGAGGATAAGCGTTACAATACATACATGTGTTAAGATACTTTCATTTTGATCGCTACTGTAGAGAATAAGTGTTTATACCCAAACTATAAACTTTTATCCCAGTACTTTAAATGTTATTTAATGTCTGTAACACAGAAATAATGATGTGTGATTGAAAAGACTGTTTGTGTTGCTCTTTCTGGATCAGCAACAGCATAAACTAGATAAAAAAGTCTGTCAAGACAAACTTTGGGTTGGCTTGAGAAAGCCTAGCATGAAAGATTAAAGCAGCTGCAAAAGCCTGAAGTTTGAAAATTTTGATAGATTAGATAGATGTTGATAACATGTTTCTAGCATGATTCGCATGTTTTTAGCATGATTAGCATGTTTTAGCATGATTAGCCTGTTACTAGCATGTTGCTGGCATGATTAACAAATAACTAGCATGTTGTTAGCATTATTAGCAAGTGACTGGCATGTTATTAGCATGATTAACAAGTGACTAGCATGTTGTTAGCATGATTAGCAAATGTGACTAGCCTGTTTCTACCATGATAAGCATGTTACTAGCATGATTAGCAAGTGACTAGCATGTCGCTCGCACGTTTCTAGCATGATTAGCATGTTGCTAGCATGATTAGCAAAGTGACTACCATGTCGCTATGATTAGCAAGTTACTAGCATGTCGCTAGCATGTTTCTAGCATGATTAGTATGTTACTATCATGTTGCTAGCATGATTAGCATGTTACTAGCATGTTGCTAACATTATTAGCAAGTCACTAGCATGTCGCTAGCATGTTTATAACATGATTAGCATGTTACTAGCATGTTGCTAGCATGATTAGCAAGTGACTAGCATGTTTCTAGCATGATTAGCAAGTTACTAGCATGTCACTAGCATGTTTCTAGCATGATTAACAAGTAACTAGCATGTTGTTAGCATTATTAGCAAGTAACTAGCATGTTGCTAGCATGATTAGCAAGTAACTAGCATGTTGCTAACATGATTAGCAAGTTGCTAGCATATTTCTAACATGATTAGTGAAAACTATAAGTCGGATCAGTCTGAAAAGATATAGCAACCCGAGTCAGATGGCGGTTCTAGCTTGAAAGCTCTAGCAGGAGTAGCGTTTAGAAATGTTAGTCTCATAAGAATAATAAGAAGAAGAAGCTTAAATAGCAGATCAGTAGGTACGCTCCACTGACGCTCGCGTTGTGAAACAGTCGTAATAGACTTAGCTGAATCACTGTCATTCAGGAATAAGATTGCGTGGGTGTTTGAGTCGAGATCGCGATCTTTAAACGATTAATCGGGCAGCTCTAATGAAAACACTGCAGTCGGATCTCGTTTCTTAAAGTGGGGTAAATGAAAGAACTGCAGGGGGTTTATTATGAGTTGATGAAAATCTCTTAACTAAACCATACAAATTTTAAATTAAAATGAATAAACTAAATTTTAACATTTGAAATATTTTATATTTATTTGCATGTCAATGTGACCATTAAACGACATCAGGGAACTGTGAACAAGCACATGTGTTGTTAAATGGTTGAAATATTAACTTTAAATCTCTGGGACTTTGTGTAAATATTTTAGGTCAAAAGGGGTTTGACTGACAAAATAGTTTATGAATCCCTGCATCTCACCAACAAACATTAATAATCATGAAAACAGCAATGGCATGGTCAAAGTCTTCCAGGCTTTGAATGTTTTTGTCAATTATACATTGCAGTGTTTAGTAACTTAACGTAACATAATTAATCATCTCATACCTGGTATAATTGACTGAGAGGTGCTTTTGTCCCCAAATTCAGAAGCAGGGATCACAAATTACTTTACATGACATTTACACAGCCATTCTATATTGTACAAAATCAAAGCTAAACATTATGAGACACAGTAGATTTTTTTAGAAAGGAACATTTATAAAAGAAAAAAGAATTGGGGAGAATCAATAAATTATGAATAATGCACTGCCATTGAGTGAATAATTTGTAATAATGTAATCCATAAAAAGTAACTGTAATCTGATTATAAGATAAATTAATCGAATTACAAGTAAATTGTTGTAATCTGATGAGCACTGTATACTAACAAGAAACTTAGTACCACTGACCGAGAGCTGTAGCTCCAACCACACAACTTTGTGAAGCTGTTTGCCAATCGTTCATTAGATCTAGCTTTCAGGAAACACAGAATTGATGGAAACAATGTGACTTGCGATCATAGTTTGCTAAAGATGCTTTTGGGAAACACACCTAAAGTGTTGTTGCCAGGGCATTGTTATGCTGTTGCTATCTCAGTATTTATTTATTAGTTTTTATGCCAGATGAAAATTGTGAATCTAGTCGCTTAGAAATCCTCATCAAGCTCTCTCTTTACACAAGTTTACATATTCAGGGGTTTGTCGAACTCCACTAAACACAAGCAGAAGCCAGACTACAGTACTTAAACATTTATTCATGTTGATGAACTGAACGACACAGTTACTCAACTGTACATTATTAAAATTTTCCCATCAGAGAGAGACACATAGATCACCTAAACACCTGACCTCGCTTAACTTACTACTATTTACCCCTCTGGGTTTCCATTCATACAACTGAAAAATAACAACACTGATATGACGATCCAAACTATCTCGGTAAAATAGCTCATTTAAAACTATAATCTCATTCAACACCACAATGTCAGCACTTTGTTTGAGGGCAGATATTGTTAATGGTCCCCAAGCAATCGTCAGAGTTGGCTCAGAAAGCGGACTGTCTAAAGGACAGAGGCTCTTCATGTAAAGTGCATAAAATCATCAGGGATTGAATAAAGGGCACAGTAGCTAGCACCAATCGACTGAAATCTGCCCTGATATTTCTGCGCACCGATTTCACCACTACATGCTGAGGACTAATGTAGATTTCAGTTAGCCCTCCAGATACAAAAAACGTGCTTTCAGATCAAGTTGTTCTTTATCAGAACGTGCCATTTCGCTTTTGAAATAAAGCAAGGTCGAAGCTCAGCTGGGCTGCTCTGTCATTGATATTTCCTGGACTTCTCTCTCTCTCTGGTGGGTTCAGACGGTAAACACCAAACATGGGATCGATGGCAGATTCTGAATGGACGGTGCGGCACGAGGAGTCTGAGGATGAGCTGCTCACTTCAGGCCTTCATCTGTGCTTTTCAACATTAAGATGGCGTTGTGAATCTTCAGCGCTGGTCCTAACTTTATATTCATGATCTTCACAATATCATTTTGAGTCAGAAGGAGGAACGCCTCTCCATCAATCATCTGCAGAGAAAAGCCATGCTGTATCGATGAGCTACACGAGATGTGACAAGCCTTCGCTGCTCTAACTTCACTCAATGATATGCTGCTGTACTATCTCTCTTGAGACTGAGATTTCATTCACAAATTTAAGTTCATACTATATACTTGGCTTTTTGTTTCTGCAAATGCCCGAAATGTCATATACAGTGGGTATAATCAGATTTTGTTGCTTTGCAGCCTGAAATGAAGACGGACACAGTTTTTGTTTTATCCAGCTGTATTTACTCAGTGCAACTTATAACATCCAAGTCAAAGTTATAACAGCATCTTTTAAAGGGGCCTGATTCTTTTCGATACCCACTGTATAAAGTTATTTAAAGAACATGTTAGTGGTGTGTACCCATGCAAAACACACCACCACTCTACTGGAGCTTTTATTTAATTATATATTTTTTTTTAATTGAGAACCAAGCATAATCAAGAGTATATATATATATAAGCACCTGATCCTGCAGCTTTCTGTTGAGACGCCTGCATTTCATCCCCAGACATTTACTGCACAAAGTTAAATGTGATTGCGCCTTCATATACAGAACTCAAACTATTAGTTAAAGCTTAATTATGACTAACTATTAAATCCCTATTTTACACATTAATACTAATGATGCTTTCTTCAACAAGTACCATTGTTAAGTGAAATTTAATGAAGCTAATTACTCACTTCATCTTTGAAAATTCGGGCCTGCTCCTCACAACCAATAAGATTATTGACAAATCCAAAGACCTGCAGATAAAGCAGAGATATACATTAGCATCATACTGACTGCTGTTTGCTTGCTGTGTCTGTAGATTATTTTATAACCCAGATGTTCAGAACTGTGCAGCTGTATTGCATTATTCGATTCATTTTTCTTTCTTTTTTTTTATTAAAAAAAAAAGTGTTAGAAACATGTAAGTGATTATATAATAATATAGTACATGTGCAAATAATGGCCTGTATGTGTGTTATCCTATGTGAGTGGATGTTGTCTTTTATTCTAAAATTCATTGATTTATTTGTTTTACACAAAGGAATTGCATGAAGTGATTACCTCCTCTATAGTCCAGGTAGATACTTGACCTGCATGAATTCCTGCGACGCCAGGCAGTAACTTACAGTGCTGCTCCCAGCAGAGAGACAGAGTTCGGTCCGAGTTTGCTGTAAACGCTGTCATGAAGAGAGACGAGTACATTCCCTCCGATATCATGTCTGAAACACACACACACACACACACTCACACACACACACACACACACACACACAAACA